CACAAAGCTTCGCTTGGAAATTGGAGGAGGGGGTTAGCTGGACCCATAACACTGACCTTGTACAGACCACAGAAGCAAAAGAGACAATGGTTTAGTATCCAGAAGACATAAGGAACAACAGCATATCACAAAGAAAAATATAACCCATTAGCAAATGATCAACAGACATGAACAGATAAATCACAGAAAAAACCCCTCAAATGTTTGAACATGAGAAAAGAGTCTCAACATCACTGGTAATCTAAAGACACACAGGCAGACAGATATGGATAGGAGGGTGTAGGAAGTATAGAAGACTAAACATGTACCATATGCTTCGGTGAGCAACTTGCCAGTATCTCATAAAACTGAAAATGTGCATGTCCCACTTCTCAAATACAGGTAGTCCATGTCGTTTCGTGGTTACGTCACCATCTCCCATTTATTTATTAAAAAAAAAAAAGTTCCATCATTTCGATGTATGTACATATGTGCTTTATGTTTTTTATTATTTATTTACCACAAGTAAAGGTCAGGAATTGTTATCTTTCTTTTAAATTTTTTTTACTGTTTCACTTCATTACTGCTGTGTATGTGCTCCATGTGAGTGATGTAGGTGCTTATGTAGGTGGGTTCTGACTTACAGCGAAAATCGCATTACGTGGCGCCATAGGAACAAACTCCAACGTAACCCGAGGACCTACTGTATTCCTCTTCTGGGAAAACTCCTAGGGGAAATCTTACCCAGGCTAGCAGGAGATGTTTGTCAAAGATGCTTACTGCAGCCTTATTTTCACAGAATCAAATCTGAAAACAACCTGAATGTCCACCAGTCAGGGGTAAAAGGTAACCCAGTGTCCCATCTTCTTTAGCCCAAGATATTTAAAAATAATTAACTACATCCATAAACAACTTGTAAAGTCTATACAAAACTATATACTCATGTTACACTGTGTTATATGTATTGCTCGTGGACACGTTTTTGTTAGTACAAACTCCAAAATGGACTAGAAAGTCTGGTTCCAGATAAGATGTAGTAAACACACCCACTCTCTGGCTTCCACTGAACATAGCCTGACATGCTGAACAGAATACATGGAGCTGCCATGAGAGGCCCCAGAAAGTAAACAGCAGCAGGCAGACTGGGAAGAAGGCCAGAAGTGTAAGAACCACCGACCAGCAGTGAGTCTGCAACTCAGCACTCCCAAGCCCAGGAGTGGCACCGATCCGCACAGCGAAGAGTACCCAAAGACTGTAGTTCAGACTCACGGAGTAGAAAACGGGTCTCCTTGCAATGACCATGCTGGCAGTGGGGGCCCTCAGGCAACTCAAACTCCCTGGGAAGAAAATCATCCTCACCACTGGGAGGACTGTGATCCTCTGAACTCCTGCTGCTTGGCCCTGGACGTAACACAGCAAGACATACAAAACCCCAGCATTCCAGCTGGATGAAAAGGTGAGCCCTGAGGAACCAACAAGTACCAGGGATATGTGAAGAGTTAAAGCTCAGGAAAGTGACCCCACAAGGTTGTTATTAATTCCTGGCCTCACCCCAAGCTATGCATGCATTGATCTGATCATAAACAGTATATCCAACATTCTGAGAAGTAAAATATCAACTATTATCCAGGTCTCACAATGGCCACAGGTGGTACGTAAGAGGGCCAGACCCAATAGCATTGTAAAAGCTTTTGAAAATGGAACTGACATTGAAACCACAACACAGAGAAGGCTAGTCAGAACTTACAACCTGAACCCAACCAGGTTGACTGCCTGGTAAAACAAAACATCAACATTTCCCATAAGATTTATTTATTTTTAATATATTTTAATTAATTTCAGAGAGGAAGGAAGAGGAAGAGAGAGACGGAAACATCAATGATGAGAGAGAGTCACTGATTGGCTGCCTTCTGCACACCCCACACTGGGGATCGAGCTCACAACCCAGGCATATGCCCTGATCGGGAATCAAACCATGACCTCCTGGTTCATAGGTCAACGCTCAACCACTGAGCCATGCCGGCTGGGCAACATTTTCCATAGGATTTAAATTTTAAAACCCCAGTTCTTTTTTTTTTTTAATATATTTTATTGATTTTTTACAGAGAGGAAGGGAGAGAGATAGAGAGTCAGAAACATCGATGAGAGAGAAACATCGATCAGCCGCCTCCTGCACATCTCCTACTGGGGATGTGCCCGCAACCCAGGTACATGCCCTTGACCGGAATCGAACCTGGGACCTTCCAGTCCACAGGCCGACGCTCTATCCACTGAGCCAAAAATTTTAAAACCCCAGTTCTTAAAACATAATATTCAAGTATCCAGGAGGCAACCCAAAATTACTCAGCATATGAAGAAAAGGAAAAATACCAACTCATGCTGCAAAAAACAACCCAAATAGAATAATATACCATGCTCATGGATTGGTAGAATCAACATCATTAAAATGCCTATACTACCCAAAGCAATCTATAGATTCAATGCAATCCCCATTAAGATACCAACATCATATTTCACAGACCTAGAACAAACTCACCAAAAATTCATACGGAATAAAAAAAAAAAAAGACCCCAAGTAGCTGCAGCAATCCTGAGAAAGAAGAACAAAGCTGGAGGGATCACAATACCATATATCAAGCTATATTACAAAGCCACTGTTCTCAAAACTGTCTGGTACTGGCACAAAAACAGACATATAGACCAATGGAACAGAACAGAGAACCCAAAAATCAACCCAAGCCATTATGCTCAAAGCAGGCAAGAGCACAGAATGGAGTCAAGACAGTCTCTTCAGTAAATGGTGTTGGGAAAATTGTACAGATACATGCAAAAAAAAAAAAATGAAACCAGACTACCAACTTACACCATACACAAAAATATACTCAAAATGGATAAAGGACTTAAACATAAGACAGGAAACCATAAAAGTCTTAGAAGAATCCACAGGCAGCAAAATATCAGACATTTGTCATAGCAATATCTTTACCGATACAGCTCCTAGGACAATGGAAACTAAGGAGAAAATAAACAAATGGAACTACATCAAAATAAAAAGCTTCTGCACAGCAAAAGAAACCATCAACAAAACAACAAGAGAGCCCACTGCATGGGAGAACATATTTGCGAATGTTATATCCGATAAGGGTTTAATCTCCAAAATTTATAGGAAACTCATACAACTTAACAAAAGGAAGATAAACAATCCAATCATAAAAAAGCCTATATAGACACTTTTCGAAAGAGGACATACAAAAGGCCAAGAGACATATGAAAACATGCTCAAAGTTACTAATCATCCGAGAGATGCAAATCAAAACGACAATGAGGTACCATCTCACACCTGTCATCAACAAATCAACAAACAACAAGTGCTGGAGAGGATGCTGAGAAAAAGGAACCCTCCTGCACTGCTGGTAGGAATGCAGACTGGTGCAGCCACAGTGGAAAACAATATGGAGTTTCCTCCAAAAATTAAAAATGGAACTCCCATTTGACCCAGTAATCCCACTTCTAGATATATCACAAGAAATCAGAAACACCTATCAGAAAGGATATATGCACCCCTATGTTCATAGCAGCACAATTTACAATAGCTAAGATCTGGAAACAGCCTAAGTGCCCATCAGCAGATGAGTGGATTAAAAAACAGTGGTACATCTACACAATGGAATACTACACTGCTGTAAAAAAGAAGGAACTCTTACCATTTGCAACAGCATGGATGGACCTGGAGAGCATTATGCTAAGTGGAATAAGCCAGTTGGAGAAAGATAAATATCATATGATCTCACTCATTTGTGGAATATAATGAACAACATAAACTGATGAACAAAAATAGATCCAGAATTATCGAACAGACCGTCCAACCTCAGAGGGAAGGCAGGGGGTGAGAGATCAACCAAAAGACTTGTATACATGCATATAAGCATAACCCATGGACACATACAGTAGGGGAGGGGGTGAGGGCATGTGCTGGGGGGTGGGAATGGCTGGGGAAAGGTCAATGGGGGGAAAAGGAAACATATGTAATACTTTAAACAATAAATAACTTAAATTAAAAAAAAGATAGAGACATCAAGGCTAAGATGACACAGATGTTGGAAATCATTGACAAAGACTTTAAAGAAGCTATTATAAAAAATGCTCCAAGAAGAAAAGCACACTAGAAATGAATGGTGTGGTAGACAGAATCTTACAGCACTCCACAATTTCCTGCCCTAATTGCAGGGACTATGCACAGAATATCACACCTTGGTAAGTTACAGGGCAGAGAGACTCTGCAGATATAATTAAGTTACTAACCAGCAGACTCTGAATTAATCAAAGGGAGTCTACCCAGTTATGCCTAATCTAAACCCATCAAAATCTAAGAGGGATTCTGTGAGCTACTGCGACTTGAAGGTAAGGTGGGGTCATGTGATAAGGAAATCTGCCAGCCCTGGAAGCTGAAAGTGACCCCCAAGGACCTCAGTTCTACAAAGGCAAGGAACTGGATTCCGCCAGCAAGCTGAATGCACCTGGAAGCATCTTGCCCTGAGCCTCTAGAAAAAAGCCCAGCCCAGACAATGCCTTTACTTTGATCCTGTGAGACCCTAGCTGGAGAACCAGTCAAGCCCACTCAGACTTCTGATTTACAGAACTGTGAAGGAGACCTAAGTTGGTGGTATTTTGTTACACAACAGTAGTAAATAAAGACTAATTTTGGTAGTTGGAAGTGAGATGCTGCCATAACAAACACTTATTTAAGTTCATTTTGAGGTCATTAATATAACCCTCAAGTATCACAGGATTGCATTTGGGACTCACTGATTGCTCTAAAGTGAGAACATTCCTTTTGTTTATACTATTTTTCTAAAATAGTATTGAATAGACTGCATCCCTGAATTCTGCAGGCATTTGTTCCTTCTATTTTTTCTAGAACCACTGTCAAATTAATTGTGTTTATATGAAAAGGAGGGCCAAACAACAAAATCTGACTAATTTGTAAACAAACATTAACTCTTTAATACTGTCCACCGTACACTTTGAGTTTGGTGCACTGTCCTGGCTTCAAGTCTCCCAGAAGCTGCAGTATGGTGTCCAAGAGCACCCGGCTGGAGTTAACCAGGAATTCACGACCACACGCTATGGCAGCAACATCTGCAACAGAAAGACAAAACCAAGTTCAAAATCTCTGTAACTTCAGACTCTAGAAAAGTTTCTCCATGACAGAGTATTCCTTGCTGTCTTTCTCCTAACAAAATAGTCAGTGAGGCATAAAAAAACGGTGTTGTCCACAGAGTGACAACCCAGAAAGAACTGACAACCACAACAGTTACTCAGACAGTGAGTAATGCACTTTGTGAATAGCAAACACCTTGATAGTGGAACAGAGCACTGGAATCTAAATATGACTGCAGCCAACCACAGGACAGCAAGTGGATGCCATGCTCCAGAACCCTGACTGACAGCTGTGGGCAGTCAGGGTCCAAACAGAACCAAGTTGGTGGCGTAGATAAATGCTGGTACTCACTGCCTCCAACAACCACATCAAAATTCCAACTAAAATACAGAACCACCATCATTCAGAACCGCCTGAAATCTGGCTGAATAGAAGTCCTACAACTAGAGAAGTAAAAAAGAAAGTACATTGAGACTAGTAGGGGGGGCGAAGGCACAGAACGGGCTGGTGTGGTGTGTGTTTTTCAATCTGGAGGGATATCTGGCTGTAGAGGCCTCCTGTGAGGAGCAAGGGGTCCCAGCCCCACACCAGACCCCACCAGCCCAGAACTGGGAAAAGAATTCCACATAACTTTGGCTGTAAAAACCAGAGGGGATTGTGGCTGAGTGACAGGGAGATTGCTATAGTCCCAGGCAGTTCCTCTTAAAGGGCCAGCACAAGAACTTACACAGTCCTGCTTCCTCTGAGTTCCAGCACTGGGTGGCGGCTTTGGGGGATTCAGGGACATACAGGGAGGAAGTGGATTGTCTGGCATTGGGGCAGGAACTTGTGCCGACTTTCTCCAAGATGGGGGTGCTCACATGGGTCACTGTTCCTGTGCTGGGACCTTCCCCATTGCAAAACTGAGATTCCATCAACGTGGCCCACACTGTTTACTCTACCCTGCCCCATCCATTTGCAGCCCAACCCAAGCTGTTTGCAGGGGCTTTTCCATATGCATGGCCTATTCCAGCTCAGGCTTCAGACCTTTATAAAATCTCTCAAACAAGCAGCAACTGGCATCAGTGTGCCACAAATATATCAATAAGAAGCCCAAGACCCAGCACCTGCACCAGCCCACCTTGCTTCACAACTGGGCCTTGCCTGGGCACTTCCAAGCCTAATACAAGTAGCAGCAATCTGCAGATCACTCTGTAGCTCCTGTGGGTGGCCCAGACAGTGGCTGACTTTGCACTTTCCAGGAAGCCCCAGAGCCAGTGCACCCAGTGGACAGCGTCAGACCATACCAGATTACAACTTTACACATCCATGAGCAACACACTCAAGGGGCAGGCTCGGTGAGCACCAAAGCCCCAATGAAGCAAGTCTTGCTCCACAGGGGTGTCTCTTGCACAGCAGCTCTTCCATTGTAGTTGCAAATATTCCTCACAGGAATGATGATCATTGACATGAGGGTACTCTATTGACTTTGTAGAACAATTATATCCATGAAAGATAAGCTGGATCTTAGTCATGCCCATAAATTATCAACAGTCAAAAAATAATTTGTATTCTGAAATCACTATCTAATATTGTTTGAATGAATAAACCCAGAATAAAAAGGCAAGGAGTGTAATTATAACTTTCAAGTAAACAAAAAGCAGAAGAAACAATTAGAAAAATAAGTTTTCTGTCAGCTGGTGTGACTCAGTGGTTGAGTGTCAACCCACGAACAAGGAGGTCACAGTTCAATTCCTGGTCAGGGCACATGTCTACGTTGCAAGCTCAATCCCCAGTAGAGGGCTTGCATGAGGCAGTCAATCAAAAATTCTCTCTCATCCTTGATGTTTTTATCTCTCTCTCCCTCTGCCTCTCCCTTCCTCTCTCTGAAATAAATTTTAAAAAAAATTTTTAAACATAACTTTTCCACTTGCATGGTAAGCAAGTTAATCTTTGCAGGACTCTGACAATTTACCATCTTCTTTTACATTCTTCATTTGTCCCCTTACACAAGTTATTGAAAAGAATCACATGCTTATGTTGAAGAGCAGCTTGGTTTACAATGTGCTATCACCTCCATAGTTCAGTAAATATTTACAACAGCATGTAAGGTCATTAGAGCAGGTACTACTACTGCAGGTCAGATGAGGAACAGAAAACCAGAGAACTGATAACCTGGGAAGTGGACTAGCTGTGCCTGAAAATCCAGACCCCTCACTATACTAACCTATTACCAAGGACAGTGACTGTGGATGAGTAAGAAATCTAACAACTTCAATAAATCCTTGACTTCCAGTTTTTGCTTTAGGATACATTAAATTGGAAAGAGCTACACCTTGATTCTTTAAAAGGCGGGGGCGGTCATTTACAAAATCACAACTTTTCTTGAACACATCAGAGAGCTAAGGTCAGAGATCAACCAACTAACATGAGAAATAGGAAAAGGCAGGGGCTCATGAAGAGATATGAGGCAGACACTTGCTTACCTGGGGCAGATGCTGGACACCAGACAAACCAGCAAGAAAAATCCAGCTAAAAGTTTTAACAAAGTGCCAGATCAGCAGTTGCCTGTGGCTGATGTAGACAGAGTGGTTGACTACAAAAGGGAAAGGTGGGGAGATATTGAGGAGATATGTTGGAAGTTATAGAACTGTTCCACATCTCAACTGTGGTGGTCACATGACTATATGCATTTGTCAAAACTTAGGAACTGCAAAAAGGTGAGGGGAAAAGTGTAAAGGTAAGTTTATTGCATGTAAATTTTTTTAAAAAATCCTTGTTTTAGAAGGCAGAGGATCTGTGTGACAGCTAACCAAGGTCTCTGCTGTACTGCCTACTCCCCAAGAACAGTGTTCTCAGTGTTGGAGATGCATAAGCCACCAAAACAGCACTTTAATAAAACCACCATAGTATGTAATACTCCAGTAAAATTCATCAGTGAGGAAGCAAAAAAACATATGTGTCCACTTTCCAACTCTTTATGACAGCTCCTGTGAGTCACTCCAAGCAGGGAGAAACAAAGCCAAATTGAACTCGTATGCTGGGCAACAGGCTGGCTCTGCCCACTGGCCAACTGCCTCACCACTACACACCAGCTGCAGTTCAAGCCGCTCAAATTCACAACTCAGCAGAATGACAAATCACATATGTCATAGACCTTTGGCGTCACTTGCAAATAGCAAAAACTCTAGTCATCAAATTTACAAATGCCTTCTGTTAAAAAAAAAAAAAAAACCTTAAAAGAATTTGAAAAGGTACAGCAATGCAAGCCTCCTCCAGCAGAAGGTGCGAGGATGAGAGTGCATGATGCCTGCCGTCCTGCAGAGTAGATGCTGGATAAACCAGGACTGGCCTGAAGACCACAAGTCTCAACATCTCCCCAGAAGAAGGATCATAAGGAATTATGAAGGGACAATGACTACACAGGACCTGCCTCATTAGTATTTAGTAGGTGAAGGATATTGCCATGAGGAAAACTAAAATGTCCTCTCTCTCTTTAATGGTAAAGAATTACCCTAAGATACACAGCAGAGATGAAAGAGCAACATAAAAAAATAAATCGTAGCATCTATTTAACTATTTCACTGACTCTGGAGCAAAAAGCCTTGGTCCTCACTAGTACATACTACTCCTACTATATACTAAGAGATCAGTGATTGTTTGGCTTTATCTGTACAGCAGTTTTGCCACAGAATTCTATCATAACTGTATAATTTTGGGGAGAAATTTACTAAAGAGACAGTTTAGGTTTTGGAATTCCTTAATTATTGTACCACAATAACCACAATAGTTTAGGCTTTTACTTGACTAGACATTAATAAAGTGGCAATGACTCCAAATAATAAGCAGCTCAACATAGTTTTGTTCTGACTTCAGTAAAGGCACAGACTGAACATGCAAACTCGTCCCATGCTTCCTAAGACCAGTCATGCTTACTCAACAATATTGTACTTACCAGAATGACCTGCATGATATGCCACAATCACACAACCTGGTACCTATCCCAGATCCACAGAACCAGAGTCTCCAGGGTGTGAACCACATGGCATTTGAAAAAGTTCCTGAGAGAGGTTTATGCTCAGACACCTGACTGTAATCGCTGCTCAAGGACACACTTAAAACTGCCACTATGCTTAAAAGAATTACTTACTTGTCACAATTCCAGCCAAAGCAAAAACAAACTGATTTTCATCAGAATCGAGCTCCTTGACATCCCCATCCAGTGACTTCACAAAACTCTCCATTGTCTGACCAGTGATGTTGAAAAACTTCAAAGCTTTATCCTGAAAGTTTGGAAATGAGAGCATCACGCCCCTTCACAAATACCAGTGTGAAACATGTTAAAAGTGCAGGATACATAGAAAAGACCCTGGTGGTACTTACAGAGGCAATATTTTAAAATCTATTCCTCATTAAAAGTTTCTATTGAAAAGATGAAAGGAAAAGGTTTTACTTTACTAGATACAAATAAAAGTATTAGAAAAATTACCTAAAGACTAACCCAAAGAGTAAAATAAAAGTACATATGGGAAACAGCTCAAAATTTACACAATGATGGAAGCACCGGGATCAATTCACCCAACAATATACTAGAAAAGCATGTATGGGTTTTCAAACCTTCGGCAAACTGCTTTTCAAATAAAGTCTTAACTGAAATCTCAACATGTAAGATAGATAAAGAAGCGGGCTGGAAGAGGTTAATGGGGGGAAAGGAGGACCTATGTAATACTTTCAACAATAAAGATTTAAAAAGAAAAATAACAATATTTCCAAGTTTACAGAGCCTTTGCAGCACTTCTCTGAGGACCTGTTTGAAAACCAGGGCACAAGGGAGCTTCAAGGGTGACACAAATGCTCTAAGACTGGGTTGTGGTGATGTTGTGCTACTATGGAAGTCAGCTAAACACCACTGAGTTGTACACTTGCAGACGGGTGAACTTTACGGTATATAAATTACATCTCAGTAAAGCTCAATAAACTTTAAAAAATAAAGTCTTCCCTGGCCAGTTTGGCTCAGTGGATAGAGCGTCAGCCTGCGGACTGAAGGGTCCCAGGTTTGATTCCGGCCAGGGGCACATGCCTGGGTTGTGAGCTAAATCCCACCACCCCCCCCAGTAGGGGGCATGCAGGAGGCGGCCAGTCGATGATTCTATCTCATCACTGATATTTCTATCTCTCTATCTCTCTCCCTTTCTCTCTGAAATCAATAAAAATATATTAAAAAATAATAATAAAGAAAGTCTTTCCCCTGAAAGGCAAATACAATTTTTGATTTTTAGAATGATGAGTAGTTTATTACCGACCTTCCACCAAACATCCCCTTGTGACTTTTATTTCCATTCATGACATCCCATTTTCCCAGAGTCACCTCAGTCTTCCTTGGTTCCTTTCATTCTGTCAGCTGTGGAGTCCATGCTGTCACCACACTGGCCTTAGTCACAGGCTCTCCTTCCCTTCCATCTCCCCTACAGAGAGCCAGCTCACTCCAGCCTGAGCCACTGGAACTCTAATTCGTCTTCCTGTCCAGTCTGTAGACCCCAACCTGCCCCCTCAAATCCACACTCACTCTCTGTCATGTTAACCTTCCCCAAACTCTCCCCTTATCCCATCCTCTTTTAGTCAACGCTTAGGAATCCAGTCCTCCCACCTGGACTGCATCATCAACCTGCATTGACGGTCTTCCAAAATTACACTCCACCCAACCTTATAAGCCTTCTTTCCCCACAACTTTACCACACAATCCTCCACTCTGTGTCAACTAACCTACTCACTGTCCCTAAACAAACTTACTACATTAATTTCACATACCCCCACAGCACCAGGTTACAGAGGACCCCACACCACAATTCCAAAATTATTTGATGAAAGAAATGGATGTAAGCCATGCTGCACCCTCCCAGCCCATAAGCATTAATCAACAAGGTCCAGTTGGCCATGCTTACTCCTCCCAGAAGGGCTTTGACGACCTCCTCACTGCTGGAGACGCCCCAGAGCAGAGTGCAGGCTGCTGCCCCCATCTCTGTGCAATACTCTGCCTGCTGCAGGAGTTGCTGCTTCGCTTCATTCAGCTGCTGGCGAAGAGCCAGTTTCTCCTGAAATCAAAACAAAATCAGAAAAATGAATAGCATTGAACTTTAAAATATCTCGTGTTTTCTCTTTCAAAGATATTTTAAAGAAAATAAATGCATACAGAATCATAGAAAACAGTTGGCAAATGAAAACTAGTCCTTAGAGAGCCATAATCCATATTTTAAAAATAAAATTTAGAGGCAAAATTAACACTCTTAGAAAAGAACATCCTATTAAATTAGAGTTTATAAATACCATCAAAGTCGAGAAGCTTTTCATCTAGGGGAGAAAAGGGAGCAGTGGAGCCACAAATTCATCTTCTTTAAATCAAATGAACTCATTAGGCATCTCAGGTCCAAAGTGTCTATACCCAGGACCAGCACCAACTAGGACATCTGAGCAAAGTGACAACCTCACACAGCAGTCCACATATAGAGCAACACTTTTAAAAACATTTTTTAAATGTATTTTTATTGATTTCAGAGAGGTCAAGATACCACCTCACACCTGTTAGTGTGGCCATTATCAACAAGGCAAGTAATGTGTTGGAGAGGTTGTGGAGAAAAAGGGAACCCTCATTCACTGCTGGTGGGAATGTAGACTGATACAACTACTATGGAAAAGAGTCTGGCCCAGGGGTGGGCAAACTTTTTGACTCGAGGGCCACAATGGGTTCTTAAACTGGACCGGAGGGCCGGAACAAAAGCATGGATGGAGTGTTTGTGTGAACTAATACAAATTCAAAGTAAACATCGTTACATAAAAGGGTACGGTCTTTTTTTTTTTTTTAGTTTTATTCATTTCAAACGGGCCGAATCCGGCCCGCGGGCCGTAGTTTGCCCACGGCTGGTCTGGCCATTCCTCAAAAAAATTAAGAATAGAGCCCCAGCTGGTTTGGCTCAATGGATAGAGCGTCAGCCTGTGGACTGAAGGGTCCCAGGTTTGATCCCAGCAAAGAGCACATGCCTGGGTTGCAGGCTTGATCCTCAGTGGGGGGTGTGCAGGAGGCAGCCAGTCAGTGATTCTCACTCATCATTGATGTTTCTATCTCTTTCTCCCTCTCCCTTCCTCTCTGAAATCAATAAAAATATATTTTAAAAAAAAGAAAAAAAAGAATAGAGCTACCATACAACCCAGCAATCCCTCTCATGTATACCTGAAAAACTCGAAAACACGTATTCAAAAAGATATATGCACCCCATGTTCACTGTAGCATTACTTACGGTGGCCAACACATGGAAACAACCAAAGTGCCCTGTGATAGAGGACTAGATAAAGAAGATGTTGTACATATATACAATGAAATACTATTCAGCCATAAGAAAGGATGAAATACTGCCATTTGCAACAACATGGATGAACCAAGAGAATATTATGCTAAGTGAAATAAGTCAATCAGAAAAAGCTAAGAACCATATGATTTCAATCATATGTGGAATATAAAACTGAAACTCATGGACACAAACAGCAGTGTGGTGGTTTCCAGAGGGAAGGGATGTGGGGGTAAAAGGGACCCTAATATATGGTGACAGGAGATGATTTGACTTTGAGGGGTGGGCACACAGTGCAATATACAGGACTAGCACTGATTTCAAAAACAAAAACTTATCAGAAAGCTATAAAAATAAAACCAGTGTTGGATTGGCATAAGAATGAAAACACAGATCAGTGAAACACTGACATTTATGGCAATCAACTTTAACAAAGATGCCAAGGCAATTCAATGGAAAAATTATTGCCTTTTCAAAAAATGGTGCTAAAACAACTAGATATTCATTTGTAAAAAAAAAAAAAAAAAATTATATGTGATAAAACTGCCTAGAACAATGGGCGTACACACAAATGAGTGCATACAAAATTGGTGAAATACAAACAAATCCAGGGAATGCTGATGAAACCTACATAAACTCTGGGAATTATATCAATGTCAATGTCCTGGCTTTCAGTTTGTCCTGTAGTTATGCAAGATGTTACCACTGGGGGAAACTGTGTGAAGGTATAGGGAACTTCCCTGGACTTTTTGCAACTTCCTATGAATCTGTAATTATTTCAAAATAATTTTTTACCAAAAAAACTGGATTAGGGTGATAGTTTTACAACTGCATAAATTTACTAACGATCATCAAACTATACTTGTATAACAGATGAATTTTGTGGTATATAAAATATATCTCAATAAAGCTGTTTTAAAATAAACATTAATCAAACCCTGATATATTTGCTTACTTAAAGTGAATATTGATACATAGGGTATCAAGTATAATACTTTCCAGGTTCCTTGACACTCTGAAGTTATTTCTGATTTTAACTGAACTATCAGTTTTTCTTTTAAAAGTTTTCTGAAATAATGTACAAAGTTTGCAACAACTTTCCTTTTATTACCACAAAAGTAGTAACTCTTTCCTACCAAATTAAAAATGTCAAACAAAATTTGGCAGTCCATACTTGTTAGTGTACTGACTGTGAAAGTGCATGCCAGAACAAAGCAACACACAGAGAGGACGAAACCACAGGTAAACCACTGAAAGGCCTGCTCCTCAAGAACACAGGGAACTGTACATTGTCTGCGATCACTTCACACAGAAAAGCCAGCCAGGCACTAAAAAAGGGCCGCCAGCAGGTGGAAAGCCTCCTCTAACCTTACAGTGACAGCACAATCCTTCAAAAAGTCATCCAGCTACCCTCTGACAGTTTCACCTACACCATAAACGCTGGGCTCTTTCTCTAGTTCAAAGGCTGCTTTGCCAGGACTCTCTGGGCCAGTCTCATAGATCACATCAAGGCCCAGCTGGCTTCCTCCACTGATCTGACTCAATCACACTAAGGAAACATCTCAACTGAGGTCAGGAACCAAGTTTTCCTTGTTTCAGTCACCAGTCTAGGGCAGTTGGGCGCTACTGCTTTATGAATTTGAGTCCATTCTTTATCTGATCTTTTCTTTCATACTGGAATCAGTACCTTCCACCTTTCCCTAACGACTTTAATCCACGCTGGAGTACTTACTAGCAATACTCTAACTTAGGATCTAGCCTCTGGATTCTTTCCTGGTTCCTCAACTCTAAAATAAGCTTCCAGAGTCTGGCACATGATCTGTGTAGACCTGGACAGAGACCACAGAAAAGGCAACTGCCAGTTCTCCATAGCAAGGAGACATGGTCTTGTTACACAAACTTGTATTACACTGGGGGGACTACTAAACAGCAAACTTCACTGGAAACAGTTTAACCTAAAATATCCCCACTTCTGCCCTGGCCAATGTTTCTCGGTGGTTAGAGTGTCAGCCCAAATGAGCACCTTAGAGTCTCAGGTTTGAATCTGAGTCAAGGGCACATACTTGGGTTGCAGATTCGATCCCCTGTCCTGGTTGGGGCGTGTGCAGGGCGCTATGGGAGGCAACCAATCGATGTGTCTCTCATATTAATGTTTCTCTCTCTTTCTTTCCTTCTCTCCTTCTCTTCCTCCCTTCCACTCTCTCTAAAAAAATCAATGGAAAAAAGGATTAACAAATAAATAAATAATAAAATAAAATATTCCCACTTGAACTAAGATCAATGTGAAGGCAACAACATGCTGGTGATATGAAGCTGCTTTACCAAGGCCCTTTCATCCTCTATACTGGCACTTGTAGAATGGTTTATTTTTAAGCATTACAGCTAACATGCCAGCAAAACATGCATTTTCCCTATGCTTTCAACTTAAAAAAACAGGAAATCTAAGATTCTGTTCCACTGTAAGCTTCAACAAGGATGTCTCAGCAATTTAAGAAGGAACTGAACCAATGAATTGCATTGTTAACATTGATCAAATTCATTCTTGCCTATTGGTTAACTTCTTTCTGACCATGATACTTTAGGCCCAGACACTGCCATTTTAGTTTATCATGATCTACGCAGAATACAGCAAAGCTGAAATTGAACCTTTCACTATGTGATGTTCCACCTAACCCAGTTTTAAGACTAAACTGTTTTCCCAACCTTTTCTACTTGCTCAATATTAAAGTCTATAAAAATTCCCCTCGTTTTGGAAAACCTCTTTACAGCCACATTCAGAATTCCTTCACATGAGAAGACAGTATGAAATAGAACTTTGTACACAGGGAGGGGTCATTCCTGTAAGTTAGTAGTACCTGCGGCCCTAGCTGTGCTGGGAGAAGCAAGTGAGATGCATGGACAGCCACTGACCACCTGCCAGCATGCAGTAAACAATACACACTAGCTAGTTATTACTAGTACAATTATTGTTTTACTATTCAAAAATAAAAATACATTCAAGCCCAGCCGACATGGCTCAGTGGTTGAGCATCAACCTATGAACCAGGAGAGGTCACGGTTGATTCCTGGTCAGGGCACATGCCCAGGTTTCAGGCTCAATCCCCAGTGTGGGGCGTGCAGGAGGCAGCCAAGCAATGCTTCTCTCTCTTCATTGATGTTTCCATCTTTCTCTCCTTCTCCTTCCTCTATGAAATCAGTAAAAATATATATGTTAAAAAAATACACATTCAAGCTCCAAATTTTACCAGGAGGGGTAGAATAGTTCATTTTACAGAAGAAGAAATTTCTTCCATTCCAAAAGTAAAAATTAATGTGTAATTTTCAAAAAATATTGTTAGTCTCCCCTAATATTAAATAAAATTGGTTAATTTTAAATATCAATAAATGATCCCTAAATTAATTACAAATATTTTATTTAATACATCACCTCTGATTATAAATTATGTGTACAATATTTTTCTTCAATACTTTTATTATGAATTTTTATGTTTTGGAATGGCCTTTTAAACATAAAAATTAACGGTGACTATTAAAAAGCACCAAGTAAATAATCTCCACAATAAACAGTTATAAAATCCAAATGTTCAACTATTTTCCAACCCATTCAAAATACATACATACATTTAAAAATACAATCTCCTGATGCTTAAAGGCTAGAAAGACAAGTCGCCAACACCACTGAGTAGACACAGCCACAGTGCTGGTGTTTGAAGCAGCCGTCTGTGAGCATCATACCTTCTTCTCTTTCATGCTGTCGGCTTGCACTGTCTCCAGGCGTGCTTTAAAGTGCTCACAATCCATTCTCAGTTGCTCTAATTCTTGCTCCTTCCTTTCTAGATCTACAAGAAATAGACATAAATACCTAGTATTTCAAATCACTAATCTCTCTTAAGCATCCATTTTACCTGATCTATTAGGAAAATCTATACTCATTTCTTAGGTAGTATTTGCATAACCAGTCCTTGAATAACCAATATTCTAAGAGTCCTGCTTTTTACATTTGCCAGTTTTTAGCCCATAGTAAAAAGCACTTTTTTTGTTTTCTGTTTATAAGACCTCACTTTACTGCCAAACTTGTACTCAGGATCTAAGAAAGTGTATACTTAAAGGACTGGAGGCAGGGCTGAGAAGCCCGACTGTCTCATGGCACAAACTTGTATCTGTTCCAGAAAAGGCAGAAGGCAGCTCAGTGGTAGACAGTGCCAGCCGGGGCTGATTCACAAAACTGGTCTCACCAACGGGTAGAGTGACTCAGTGAGACAGCTGCAGTGGTAGTCAATGGAGGAGTGAGAAATGGTGATAGGGACGAGAAAAGGCCATAGTGAAAGGTGGCGACTATGGAATACTTCCTCTACACCATATTCATTCGATGATTCAAACGGCCAACAAAAGTCTCAAAAGACATCCACGTTAATAAATTTGAAGTCAAAAGTATTATCACTTTAAATAGAAAGTATTATGGGGCAGAAATACTGGCGTTCAAAAATCAAAAAAATACGTAATTTAAATTTTTAACTGCCTAGATTTCAAGGGCTGAGAAATCATCAGTTTTTATGCTGACATGTACCAAAATTGGGAGAGCAGCTGTGCTCAGAGCTAACGGTGTTAGTTCTCTGATTAAAGTAGCGATAGCTAAGGGCAGTGATTCTCAGACTTGAGAGGACTCCTTCAAACAGGCTGCTGATTCAGTAGGATCGAATTGGGCCTGAGACACTGCATTTCTTACAAGTGACCAGGTGAGGCTGATGCTGCTGGTCTGGGAACAGACTTTGAGGACAACTGCTTTGGGACAAGAGCCTGGTCTCTCATCACTAACTAAATGAAATCAGCACAACCAACGACAGCAATCGAGGGAAGGCAGCTGTCGGAATACTAAAGGGTGGAAAAACAGAGGGTGGTGACAGAGTCTCAGGAGCAGACCCCTGAAAAATGGAACATTACTCCACCAAAGAGGAGAAATGTGGCCTCCAGACACTTCCTCCAATGATGAGCAGATGAAAGAAGCAGCTCAGGGGTCCTGCCAAGAATAACACGGGCATCCCAAAAGCTCTGGAGAGTCTACATTTCGGAGACCCTTTACCCTGGAAGGAAGGTAAAACCTAAAGTTCAATATTCAGACAGAGATTATGAAATTGGCTGGCAAACCTTCTTTTAAAACACATTTCTTATAAACTAAGATGAAGTAACATGCAACTATTTCTTCTCACTTAAATCAGTTTCTTTTCTGCCCTTTTATGATGTACGGTAGTATGCCACAATATGACTTTCACTGGAATTCTTTCTTTTGTCCCATAATCCTGGCCACACAAGAAAACAACTATCAATCAAGTGCTATGCTTGGAAACTGCATGGTTGACTTTTGTAATAATGCTAAATGAAAATATATATGTGCATATATTACTTATAATTATGTATGAAATACAAACTGGTCACAAGGAAACAAAATGAAAGGAAGTAAGATAAAATTATTGATAGCATAAATTCTTTGCAGTTAACTTTTAAATGTTTCTTCTATTATTAAACTGTATAATACTCAAACATGGTAATGAAAATAGGAAATTGCAACTCTACAAGCCATGTTATCACGTGTAAAAATCTGTAGAAATTAATTTAACCACCCAAAAGACTTTCATTATGGTAATTTCATAATCTCTCACTCTGTATAGCTGCACACCACTCACTGTAAGTTAACGTGACCACGGGACAGGGTTAAATACAGCCCGTTCTACCACAGGCCACCTCCCAGAACTCAGTGTCAGGGATGCCGCCCACACTGCAGGCTCTCCCGGGGAAGCAGTGCCTTTCCGCGGTGTGAGGCCGCTGCCTTGTGGCCAGATGGGAGCACTGCCGCTGCCATGCCTCCTGACAAAACTCCCACCTTGCACTTTCTTTTTTTATTTTATTTATTTATTTGACTTAAACAAGAAATTTTTTCTCTCACAGTTCTAGAGGTTACAATTCTGAGATCATGGTGTCAGTAGAGTTGGTTCCTACTGAGAGCTGCAAAGACCTCTATCCTTAGTTCATCTTCTTTTGGCCTATTCACATCGTCTTCCCTCTATACATATTCCTGTGTCCAAAATCCCTGTTTTTATAAAAACATACATCATAGCCAAAACCGGTTTGACTCAGTGGATAGAGCGTCAGCCTGTGGACTGAGGGGTCCCAGGTTCGATTCCGGTCAAGGGCATGTACCTTGGTTGCGGCACATCCCCAGTGGGAGGTGTGCAGGAGGCAGCTGGTCGATGTTTCTCTCTCATCGATGTTTCTAGCTCTCTATCCTTCTCCCTTCCTCTCTGTAAAGAATCAATGGAATATATATTTTTAAAAAAACATACATCATATGTTGAATTGGAATTGATTCTAATAACCTCACTTTAACTCTGTTATCTCTGTAAAGACCCTGTCTCCAAATAAGGTCACATTCTGAGATACTGGAGGTTAGAACTCAACATAAGAATTTGGACCACCTTGCATTTTCAACTTGGCCCACAGTATGCCTGCCATCTAAAACACCTCAAGGGCACAGATGTTCATGTTTTGTTTTCTAATACATCCCAAACGCCTACAACAGTATGTGCCACATAGTAGGCACTTTACAAATATTTGTCACAAAAATAAATTTCACTTCTTTATGCATTCCTTCTGCTAATCCTTCAATAAAAAACACAATTACTTTAATTATATGTCTCATTCTTCTGTTATAAGAATATGTTATTTCTTTAAAATCACAGAAATAATATGAACAGTAAGTGATATACTAGTGGAGACATTATCTACCCAGCCTCAATATTAGAACAGGGAAGGGGCTGCCACTAAGTCTCTACTGTATGTACTTCAACAGTTAACCTTTAGCATTCAAAATGAAGGAGAAATCTCCATTTAACTGTTAACCGAATGAAGGGTGGCCTAGACAGACGACAACAATATTTATATAGAAACAATCTAAATCACAGGCCATTTCAACACCTATATATCTTCTGAATTTTACAATTCTTTTTGATAGTTTTAATAACATGAGAATGACTGTATCTCTTAATGCTCAACTGATTCACAGGAAAGGTATAGATAACTATAAATGAAAACATTAATCAAAGAAATTTAAACTATAAAAAAAGGATCAATTTCTTCTACCCCTTTTTTATCATCTGGCATAGTTATAAATTTACCAGTTGTTCATATTATGAAAATTTGTTTCCATCAAAACAACTATGGAAAGAGTCTCAAATCCAAAATAAAGGCTTTTTAACACCCATTAACTTTTACCTTCTTATCACGTTCTAATAGGTTTAGAAAAGAATTTAGAATTAGCTACTGATGGATTCCATCTTTAGTTGAGCTGAGATTTGGAGGGTGTTGTTTGTTTCCAGCACAAAGTATGGGCTTGCCCCGCAATCCAAAAGTAGAGCTATTCCTATGAAACCATCATAAGCCAAAATGGCATAAAGTGAACAAACAATTACCTGAGAACACATCTTGCAAATAGATGCACAAAATAAATGGATATAAAGCCTAGATGCTAACAGATACAGTTGAAAGTTCTGGCAGCTTGATGCTGAAATGCTGAGTGTGGTTCCCAGCAATGGAGAAAAAAAAAATGAGGGACACCTGTAATACTCTCAACAATATTTTAAAATTTTTTAATTAAAAAGCAACAACAGGATTCTCCAGTTTAAAATAAATTATCGAGCCCTAATCGGGGGAGTGTGCAGAGGCAGCTGATCGATGTTTCTCTCTCATCAATGTTTCTAACTCTCTATCCCTCTCTCCTCCTCTCTGTAAAAAAATCAATAAAATGTAAATAAATAAGTTACTGACACCCACTGAGGCAGGAATAACTCCCTCACTGCTGAATGAATACGCCCAAGAAGGAGAAAATGGGGGGTGGGCTAACTTTCATGCCTCAGAACTGCAATTCACACCCAGGTCAGACCTATTCCAAACCTCCCTACACCTTTTCCAAATTCATGGGGCGTCAGTGTTTGAGCCAGAATGGAAGTGCTGGGCCAGGAACAGAGTGCTTTCTTCAGGACACCAAGTGTTTAGCAATCCCTCCACCTGAGGGGTCCTCTTTATCACGGGCACCCCTGAGCTGTGCACTGTCCCAAAGAGGGTCCCACTTTAAGACTTACACTTCCTGTGAGGTAAGCCTAACTGTCCTCGTTTCATAGACAGGGTAATACCAGGCACATGAGTTAGACGCAGGATACGGATTACTCCCACATCTCTGTATTTCCATTGCTGAGCTCTGCCCTTACTTCCTTACCAAGACGAATCACTTCTTCCTATCTCCCTCCAACTCCATCCTTGTGGCCATAGTCCCAAACCTTCCTCAGTGAGCGCACACTCATTAATGCTCCATCCTCCATCCAATCCCTCAAGCCTATTCTACACTCAGATACAAAAATCGTTCCCCTGAAAACATAATTTTAATGGCTATTCTATGTCATTTTCATGTGATTATTTCCAGTTGCTTCTCATCTCAAATTAAAAACAATAACTCAGGATTATTTTATCTTCTATAAGCTTCTCAAACTTACTGACCTCAACTATACCTGACTCTACTATACCTTAACCCTTGCTTCATATGTCAAGCAGAAAAAATAGCTCATTAACCCACAATCAATCCTGCTTACTCCTTTTTGTGACTTTCATACATGACATCATTCTAGTCTAAAAGTTTCCGCTTTTCTAATAAATCATGCCTCTCATTCCCTATAGATTCTCTGACCGCACCCTCGTCAATGTTATTCCAAAATCCACCACTTACCTGCCCAGTTTCCCAAAGGGAGTTACTATGCTAGAGTCACAATGAAGTCCAGTATCTACTTGATACTTA